ATTAATTCACATCTTTGAAGTCTATATACAGACAGAGTATCAGACAAAGGCCTTCAGTTCACTTTAATTACATTCAATTACCATAATACAACAGAAACGCGTGAACAAAAGAGCGGATAGATGTTCCAAGATTGACTCTAATGACACTCCAGATACAAAATCTTGTGCATAACTTTCAAGTCTCTGAGACCGTGCTAACCCCTGGGTTTCAGAGCCGTTTAAGAATTGACACCAGCAAATGTGTCAGAAACCTAAGAGAGAATTTATTAAAAGAAGTAGGCTGCTTATAAATAGAACACATCCTGTGGGATGGCGAGGCAAATCGGCAAGGGGACAGAGGCAGACTGAGCAGAGTGTGGCCCAGCTGGTCAAGTTTTACAAGGCAATATGGGAGGAATAACTTCCTAAGATGTTAAGCACACCTCACATCCTCTAATGCGCGACCTCTAATTATGGGACTGAGTCTGACGTGTGTGCGTGAGTGTGTGACTGTCACAGGAAGTGACAGTGATTGATGTGGAGGGTGAGAGACTGACAGTTTGGCACACAGAAATAAGGGGAGGAGACAGCGGTCGAATAAAAGAGGGAGATTCAGCTTCAGTGGCAGACACATAGATTCTCCACACCTCAAATGACAACACTGGCATCCGCATCATGACTAACTCTCTAAAACTCTGGTGTCTTCATTTCTTAGTCATTAACTGGTATTCCTGCTTAAAATTAGACACAAAACTGTTCACATCACTTTGATTAGAAGCTGTGGGGCTACCAGTAAATTGGAATAGAGAAAAAAAGGTAAAACAGGCAATATCAATATGTCTTTTATACCCATTTCCCACCAAAATTGGCATGTATATACAGGTTTTTTAAACATGGTAAACCCCACTAAAAAGGGCAACAGACTACAACACTCTGCAGTAGATGAGTATGCCTTTCTGGGCACGTTTTCTGGGTCGTCACTCTCTTACTTATTCAGTCTCTCTTTCAAACTCAGGGCAGGCTAATTTTGAACGATCTTCAAGTGCTGCTTGGACAAAGATGGACGAACTTTTGTGGCGGTGTGTCATTGCATTGCACCAGAAAAGGAGTGAAAGTTAGCACGTCCACCTGGGTGATGTGTTTCCATCACTGTCAGTGTCAATGGGGACTGAAATGTCCCCAGAGGTAGCTGCAGAGTCAGCACTCCTTGCTTTCACGCTTCTCTCCAGGGTGAAGTCATTACGCTATGTCAAGTTGTTCCGTCCGCTTAGTGAAGGGGTGTGACGGTTACAGGCAGCTGTGGACCTGGACCCAAGGTGAGTCTGAGCGAGACGGAAGCAGCTGCCCAAAGGAAGAGGGCTTTTACTTTCTGCTTAGAGAAACATAATAATATGCAGTCTCTGGTTTTTATTTGATACCTAGTGTCGACAAAAAATGTAATTTCACATCTGTCATTAGCACACATTAGCTGGGAGGGCTAACTTGACTTGTTTAATATATTATCGTTGTTGTCACCCTGAACGTCCTGCCGAACCTCAATCCTTTCAATAAAGTGTAGCTTGATAGTCTATATGAAAAAAGGAACTAATAGTTGAATATTTGTATTGAACAGCCAAATCTGATTCGACGACAAAATTCTGAGTCGGGTAAAGCGCTAATATCTAGTCTCATATCACGATATTGATATATTATTGAAATATTGCCAAGCCCTAAATTAAAATAAAAAAATTGACCTGGCATTATGGAAAACTTCAGGGATCACCAAAGCTATGAATCAATTATTTAATCTTGAGGGCAATGTGAATGTCTATACCAGATTTCATGGCAATGAAATCACTCAGAGCCACAGATGTCAACCTCATGGTGGCCGTAGAGGAAAAGTCAGGGATTCATCTTCTTGGCATCATGGATATCTTTATCCAATTTCATGGCATACATCCACTAGATAAGTCCGGATCAAAGTTGTGGACTGACAGCCTGTGCCATCCTCACAGCCATTGCGCTAACATGGCCAAAAAAGCTTCTCTAAACACACCTATTAACAATATAACCAGCAACACCTTTCCCCAGGAAAAGACAGAACCCACATTATATTTCTTCCCCAGATGCCGGAGGCATTACATTGTCAGCAGCAGCCATTAACACCAACACCAACCTGAGGCATGGCTCACGGACAACCTGGAAGCAAAATTCCCTCAGGCTCCTACCACGGAAACAAGTTCGCCAGATTCTGCTGTAAACATCAAGAGCTATTCCAAAGCTGGGATGAAATATTTTTAGCTCTTTCTAGTGTAAGATCTGCACAGCCTAATTGGCATATGAGAGCATGTTGCACAAAATTACAGCACAAACAGCACTCATAATGACAAGACAATGACACAGCGAGCAGAGGAAAGGAAGAAGAAAAACTTTGCATATCAAACGCTACAGCCCACCTGAACTAAAAACAACAGCGTGGAATTATGGGTAACTACAGCTATCTGAGGTTGATTTATCTAAAGAGAGATTCAGGCTCTCATTGGGAAAGTTACGGTACTTTTCTCACTGGCTAAAGGTGAGGAAAACAACTAAAACTGTTCTCAGTCCTCTATGGACACTGCTAATGCATAATTAATGGGACTACTGTGCAAAACAAACATTACAAAGCATTTTCACAGGCAGCTTCTAATGTGCTATCAAAGCTGTAATACAGACAGCTGTGTCAGAAGAAACTGAGATGGCTGGACAAACAGCTTTTTTTTAAGCCTGAAGGAGAGCAAATTACTTCACAAAAATGAGTCACCAGAAAACTTAACACGAATTTATTGTTACGAGACTAAAGAATGCTTCAAATTCACAACAGCATACTTCATTAACCGATTATACATAAACTTAATGACCAGTAAAATGCTTCAAACTGTGCACTACACAATGACAAACTGTTTTCAGCACTCACCTGAGGCAGCAGTTCATAATGTCTTCCCACATAGAACTTCAAAGCAAGGACTGCACGCATGTGTGTGTGAGAAACAGTGCTGCGAGCACGCGGTCTGAGCATCTGCATGTTTTTCTGTTTTCGTACGTGTGCATATCTCAACCAGCAGCAGCAAACTGGCTGTAGCAGCTCAGAGCTGCATGCAGAGGAGGGAATAAAGACCATCCAGTGATGTGATACACAAAAAAATTGGTGCGTGTATCAAAGAGTGCATCACAGCTGACAGGGAGAAATGGGAAAGAAAGAGACCAACAGAGAGAAAGTCAAAGTGAGAGGAAGAGACAGACGGCGGGGAGGTATTGTGTTTAGGGGGTTTTGATTTTCCGATCAATGCTGAGGAGGAAGAAATGCAATATTCTGCGGTGAATATCTAACTATACTCTTGTGTACTGTACCTGAGATGGAACAAGTCAAGCACCCAAGGACGGCAATCAGTGCCGAACATCAGGTCAGCTATTCATACGTGTCCTTACTGTACACCTCTCCCACATTCACAGTGAAATGCTGAGTATTATTGATTTCATGAGGTAATTAAGGAGTTCTTACTCCCTCACTTTGCCCTTATTACTGTGTAGAGCCTGTGTTGAGCAGTGAATACAGCTCAACTGTCTGTAAGACAAAATGGACTACAGCTCTCTCTGGTGCACTTTCTCAAGCGTTGTCAAAAACAATGATCATGAGAAAACAATTTTAGATGTACAACAAAGCCAGGGTTTTTATCTGGGGATTTCAGTGAGCCTTGCTGAATATTAATTTCCCCCACACTGCTAAATAGAATAAATTATGGATGGGTGATTGATTTAGTTTTAAGTTTCTGGATGTTTTACTGCATCTCAAGAAGAGGTTAATCATCTGTTGAGATGCAGTGTTTGTATTGAAAATCTTGTTTGGCTGTTTTACAGTCAAGGTGCTGCTCAAATCCAATCATTTACAGCAGTTTTTAGTACTGCGTATTTAACAATTTCCAACCAAAACAACCTAATTTTAGGAAAGTTTTGGTTGTTTGGTACAGAGTAGTATTAGGGCGAGGCATAAGGGGAAAAAAAGAGAGGAGAAAGATTTATTTTATTTTGCATTTTGAAACTTAAGTCCACATATCAAGAATAAAGCTAACTCCTCTGGTCCATTAAACTGTGTCTTGTTATAAAACTATTTCTTATTGCTAGCAGGTGTAACAATCAACACCCTTTTATGTGTCCATTGCCAGCTATTTCACTTTGCACAAATGCGGCCACCTCTTCCAAGTTTGTCTGGTTTCTCCCAAACACCACAATTTCTTCAAAGTCCTGAAACTCATTACCACCCTGTGTGAAAGATGAATAACGTCCTTGTTGCCAAAGCTGATTCTGAAGTGCAATTTCACCAAATCACCCGCACATTTTAGAGCCAGCCACATGAGCTAATGCTACAAGCTGGATTTATTCTCAAAAATCTGACTTTAACATTGAAATGTCGAGTTTATTCTCAGCATTTTGACTTTATTTTTAAAATGCACACAGAAAAAAAATCCTCTGATTTTTTTTCTTATGCATGGCGCTTAAGCTTTGTTCTCATATTGCAAAAAAAAAAAAAAAGCAAATAAAATCTTCCTCCTCTCATATTTTCCCTTGTGTGTGGCCCAAATACTTCTCTTGGTCATTAGATTCTAAGTTTGCCGATAAAAAAAACATCAGTTACTTCCCAACAAGCTAAACTAAACTATAAATTCACAGGCGCTTAAACCTGTTGAGAGTTTAGACTGAAAACAGCACTGCAGGCTAAAATATTAATGCATTGTCCTGGTTGCATCACTGGCAGTGACAGACACTGAAACAAGATGTAAAGCCACTACTGCAGCAGAACTTTGTCGCACACTGAATCTGATTTTTATTTGCACAGAAGTCTGTTTCAGTGCAGGGGGGAGAACGGGTATAAACATTTTTATGATATTCTCTTGTATCTGACAAGGCTTCTTTGATCACCACATGAGAAGGACTGAAAGAGCCACACAAACACGCACACAAGAAATGTTTGACGTTTGAGTCTGTCTGAGCAAGTGATTGGCTACCTGACGCTGTCAATCAGCTGCTGATGCTCCTCTGTGATCAAGATGTCAGGCAGGGCCTCAGCCAGACTCTCCACATCCCTCTCAGCGGCGTACTGCTTGAGCACCTCAAACAGCTGTTCCTTCACATCTGGCTCCTCTCCGAGAACCTCCTCCACCTGTTAGATAAATTAATGTACATACATAAATTTACATACATAATAAAAACAACAACAAACACATAAAATTACAAACATCTATTTCACACCCACTTTTTTGTTGAATTCCATGGCCTTGTGGGCGCGACTCTCCCTGACGCTGTCCCCGCTCTGCGACAACACCCTCATGCTGCTGCTCAGTCGCTTGGGCCGCCGGGCCATGCTGAGCACGCCCAGACGCAGAGGTCGACCCTGAGCCGCTTTGATCATGGCCGCTGCTGTTTCGTGATGCTTCACCGGGATGCCGTTGACCTCCATGACGTAGTCCCCGGCTTTGAGACCATTGCGACCAGCCGGACCATTGGGCATGCAGTCCTCCACCATCAGAGGACTGTCTCCGACAATGGTGAAGCCAAAACGTCCATCTGGGCCGGGAGTGATGTCAATCTGAGGAAGGGAGAAGCATGTTCACCACCTCAGTGCTGTTTTCACCTGAATGTTATGTGTGGTTTTGGTGTTTTTCCACCAACTAATGGTCCAGTGTGTAAAGTTTAAGGGGATTTAGAGGAATCTAGCAGTGACAATTTCAGATTCCATCCAGCCAAGATTTCTCCTGGTTAGAATTTCTTCAGTGTTCCTTGTTGTTTTTATCGGGAGCTGAATTACCCTCAGAGGTCTCTTCCTCTCCAAAACAAATGGACCAGGTGTCTCTCCTACACTTTTTGGCATGTCAGAGACAGGGCGCTGGCCTAACACCTGCCAATATGTGCTCAACTTCTTTCTCTGATAACTTAAGATGCAGGGGCCTTATTCATAAACATTCTACTCTCAGAGAGCTCCTAACTTAGACTAAAACATTTTAGTAATGATTCCTAGCTTAGGAGTGATTCAGGAAAGTTCTCAGAGCAACTCTGAGCAAGGAAGAGACAGAAACGTCTACCTTAGTGAGGAGGTGTGGTTTGACCCCATTGCTAGGTATGACACATTCTTTTAAAAGATGTGATTGGTTGTCACAGACACACTCTTTTGTGAGCCTGCAAGGTGTGGAAATGAAATGAACTACATCACAATACGAGACTGAAAGTGTTGTCATTATTAGCGTGATCACTGCTGATGGAAGGTTCTGACAGACTCAAGTCATCACTGCTGCACTGTTGCATTTTTCCAGTTTTCCAAATATCTTATTTTTGTTATCATTTTGTTTCTGGCATTACAATGTTATTTCATTGGGTGGGATATGTGTGCGTATCCCTAATGAGATCGACCAAAAACATAAATCATGCACGATCTAAACTGTAGCATTTCATTTAATCACTGTCATCCAGTGTTATGGGGAATATTTCTGCGACTTCTTTCTCTTTCTGCCATTTTCTCCTCTGCTTTAGAAACCCTTTAGCCCCTTAAAAGTCCTTCTCCTCACTTCTGTTTTCCACCTTTAGCTCTTTATAGGCTAAGATGCTCTGTGAATAACTTTTATCTTAACAAGGACTTATTCTTAACTTTAAGGGGAAATTATTAAAAAACATCATAATGCTAAGAATTTTCTTAGAATTTCATCCCTTGGAGCAACTCTTTGTACTAGGAAGCTTTGTGAATATGGCCCCAGATGTTCAGGGGGGTTTTACCCGGAGCCGAATTATCCACAGAGGTCTCTTCCTCTCCAAAACAAACAGACCCAGTGATATAAACAAATAAAAACACAGACTAAAGCAGATTCATGTTAAAAAAAAAAAAGTGTTTTCCCACTCTCTCATCTAGGCTACTATAGAAACACGGCAGTAGACGAGGACCCGCACCCTATGTAGGTTTAAAGGCTCATTCTAACATACACATTACATTATATTCCATTTCTGAAGATATATCCCCCTAAATCCTACACACTGGACCTTAAAAGACAAAATGTGGATTATTGGTTTTCAGCTGACCTGTTCGATCCGTGACACCACTCCGATGCTGGGCGGCACCGTCTTCAGGGTCTGCGCCAGGGCGATCAGTGCCGGTGTGCTGAGGTTGGTCACATCCTGGCCCTCAATGTCCACCACCTGGTCGCCTGGCTGCAGGCCAGCCAGGTAAGCACTACTGCCCTCCACCACGGACAGGATGTAACTGGGTCCTGTGCCACCCAGTCGGAAGCCAAACGCCTCAGGCCAGTTCTGATTGGTGGGTGGAAGGCCAAGGACTGGAGGACGAACAGAGGATGTCACTTGGAAAAAGCCCCAGTGCATTAGACTTTAATGGGTTAATTGGGAGCTGAAATGGTTTACTGCGTGTCGGATATGTATGTCATATGAGAAATTAGGAACATTGCTAATCTGACTGCAAGCTGCTCAGTACAAGAGAGCAGGTTGTGAGCTGCAAAATGGAGGTCAAATGGTCCACTGGTTTAAATAGGGCATCTCAGTAATGGAGCTGCATGGCTGTAGCAGCAGGTGCACGAGCCTATGTAATGAAGCCACATATATAAAGACACAGAAGTCACATTTTTAGATTGATGGATAGTTAAAGAACAGACTAGTGTGAAAGAGGTTATTTCTGACTGTTGGTTCTTCGCCCACATGAACCGCTGGCCTTCCCCTGGTCACTGGCCTCATTCTAACGCAGCAGTAAGTGTCCCAGCAGGCTCATTTGACTCCATCTCCACTCATCTACAGCCATCTAGATACGTCAGAGATATATATAGGACATTATAGGGAGCGGTCAGTCCACTTCGTGATGCTTTCTGTTGAAGATTTCTCACCAAAGAGCCCAACACAACTTCATATTCTGGATCACAACATGAAAAAATGTTGTTTAGTTTAGTTCATTTATTATTTCCGATCTTTTTGTCCTGCTCATTTGCACATTTTACATTTATATCAAAAGGCGTCGTACAATAAATATGGTGTAATTAGGAACTTTATCGCATCTACTGTTTGTATTAAAGTAGAAAATACCTGCATAAGTCATTTGATGAGACATGTTTGCCTCAAGTCGAGGCGGCACTCCCACTCCTATCAACAAAGATTTAAATCAAGGCTTCACATGATGAAATGGCTCCAAGGTGCAAATTTTAGAAAGGAGAATTTGACAGAAATACAACAAAGCAAACTTATGTAAGATACACTATAAAAATGCAGAAACACAAACAATTGCACGCAGTCATCCATCAAACCCCCGGCACCAAACTGCTCTGCTTTTCTTTTTGTAATTGATCAGAGGCACAGAAAGACGGAGACAGAGGGAAAGTGAGACAGACAGAGAAAGACTAAATTAGAGACAGGAAGTAAGAAAAGTAACACAAAAGTGCCTGAGCACTGAGAAAATAAGTCTGTGCAAGACTTTGCAAAAAGTAGAAGTGTCAGATCTACTTCAATGCAAAAAAAAAAAAAAAAAAAAAAAGACAAATCAGATCTCACCAGAGCACGAGGCTAAATATTCAGGGTGAGATGCGGCTGAGTGCATAAAGCATATATCAAATCCAAAGACTTACAAAGTGCCACAGAATGTGGTGTCAGCTTGCTGGGAGGAAACATCAAACTGCAGCTGAATATTGATCTAAAATAGATTGGGAAATCACTGATACGGATCTGCGGATCATAATCTTCTCTCCCCACCACCACCACCAGAACACAAGCAGCACTCAGAGGGGCTGTCTTCCTGTTCTATTCTCTCCAGCCTGCGACCCACTTACACAATGTCAGCTTCAGATCCTTTCCTCTTTGTCTTACCTCCAGCAGATGAAGCAGTTCAGTTTCAACATGTAAAAAAACTACCATTCAGAGACTTACAGAAATCTTTGGAAGCACTCCGGGTCCCAGATTTGCTCTGGCGCAGGGAGAAGCGGCCCTTTCTGCTCAGGAAACGCCTCATCCTCGCCCGGCTTGCGGCAGGGCACGTTCCAGCCAGCCTCCCTTCGCCCCCGGCCTGGAGGTTGACGCAGCCAAAGAGTGCCCTCGGACACCTTTGTGCTGCTCCTCACCTGAGCTCACTGCCTCCAAAACCTCTACCCTGCTAAGCAAATCAAGTGTGCCTAAGAGGTCACATCTGTAGGTTATCTGGGCCACTGCCTCCCCTTGTTCTTAATCAGAGAACCAGCAGTCTGCAGCTGAGGGCAGGGAGGCCGGAGAACAGGGGAGAGCGTCTGAAAGTCGGGCTCTCCATCCTGGGCGAGGCGGTCGAGCCTCAGCCTCAGCCTCAGTCCAAACCCTATGGCTGAGCGATGATCACAAAACTGGGACACGCTCACTTGGTCCTGAAATGGTTCTTTGGAAGAAAAGGTACTGCGAAGCCCCATTTTTCTATAAATACCTTTCCCTCTCTCTCTCTCCCACCCGCTCTCTCTGCCTTCCTTGGCTGCTCATGTGGATAGGGCCCTCTCAGAGGGCTGAGGAGTGACCCAGAAACCAGTGTGTGGCGTACCAGCCAGGGACCCTTCTCTGATTATAGCGGCTGTGTTAACCTCAGTACTGGAACACCAGTTACAGAGATGTAGCCCGCAGACATGCTCAAGGTTGCTCACAATATTCCAACTGATCCAATGAGCTCTGGTGAATTTAGCGTAGGACTGCAAATACCAATACAGAGTTGACAGCGTGGCATGAGTCAGTGCAAGCTTTGTGGTGTGTACGTGTCCCAGAGGATGTTTTACCTGGCAGGTGTGTGTGGTTTCAAAGCAGGTGGTATTCCCATGATGAGATGGTAGATGACACTCACTCTACAGCCACACACTTCTAAAAACAAAGAGAGGAAATGAAATGAGACGGCAACAAAGGATGATAAAAATAATACAATAATAATACTGCAGGATCTCGGTGTATCAACAAAGACAGAAAGATTAATACACAGGTTTTTACTAACATTGGGGGGGACTTTGGGGAAACACAAAAACAATGAATGAGTAGATTGGAAATAACCACATATCCACGGTACTAGGGAGAGATATAGTAGATAATTCCCATTGTAGACATCCCAAATTTCCAGTTTAAAGTGCATTCAGTTAGGGTTAACTGAGAGAAATCCTACATGGTTGTTTCCACTCACCTTAACAATCACTATTCAAAACAAAAATGATTTTCCAAAGACAAGCAAACATGATCACAGAAATCTAATTAGCACACAAAATACATCACACACTCAAAGGTCAAGACAATCTTCATCAATCAATCAGAAAAACAGGAAATCAAAGACAAATAAAAGCAAACTGTATAAGAAAATAGCATTTATTTGATGCAATCTGCTCAAGTAAACTGATGACATTTTAATGTCTGGTGTATCTGTCATGCGTAAAGATGCATTATGGTTAAAACACTGTTCCATGGGAAGTTTGTACTCTCCTTGAATGGCCTCAAACAGGCAGGCACACACACACACGCACACACAGATCTGGATCAGTCGGGCTTTAAAGGGCACCACATTTCAATTTGGAGATTAGAGCTGCAACGATTTATCGATTAGTTGTCAATTGTCAAATGAATCGCCAACTAATCTGATCATCGATTAATCCGTTTTGAGTAACTTTTTAAGAGAAAAAAGGTTAAATTTATTTGATTCCAGCTTCTTAAATGTGAATATTTTCTGGTTTAGAAAATACCCCATTTCCGATACCTAAACTTGCTTATCGTCCGATGCTGAGTGCCGATCCAATGCCACTATGTTAAAAAAAATAACAATAACAGCAGTATATGACGCGCCCATTTCTGTGCCGTTTTGGAGATATTTTAAAATGGTAGAGTACTTTGATCTTGTATACGACATTGCCAACCTCAAGGGAATATTACTAAACTTTGTTAATGCCTTACGTGGTATCAGACCAGTGCATACACTTGCATATTCGTCGATACCCGATCCAGGATTTTAGGCAGTATAAGAGGCATTTCCAATATAGGCAATGGTATCGTAACATCTCTAGTTTCTTCACTCCTCTATGACAGTAAACAGAGCATCGTTGGGTTGTGGACAAAACAAGACATTTGACGATTTCATCTTGGGCTTTTTCTGACATTTGACCAAACAACTAATCGATTAATTGAGAAAATCAACTGATTAATAAAAATAATCTTCAGTTGCAGCCCTATTGGAGATGTAGAGTCCCAAAACTTGAGAATACCCGACCCTGACGTGAGAGCAGAAGTGAAAACTGCAATGGAGCGATGCCATTTTAGGTAGTTTAAGTAGTAAGAAATTTCATTTTCTGACCGCAGCAAAGCAAAGAAACCAGGCTACAACAGATAAAAAGGCAGAGACATGTTCAGTTTGTACCAACTACAAAAGAAAAATGCCTTACAAAATTAATCTGGTTAGTTTTTTTTAAGCTGTACGCACCTAAAAGTTCAAAGATTAGCTGGCATACTGGATGACAGGAAGTGCTTAATTTCACTAAATCAATCAGCAAAAACCAAACACATGATCAAACTAGTCCTCATGCACACTCATTCTTTGTAGGTTTCACACAGACATTTCTTTGAAGGTTGTTCTACTTCTGTAACAATAAACTTTATAAACACTTTGGCCTTTGTTTTGTAGTCAGATCTCACACACAAAGCTCATATAAAGTCTACAGTAATTGGCTACACAGGTACAGTTCGTAGTTAAGATCCTCTTGGATCATACAATGACAGTCTGAATCTCCACCTCCTCTGGGGAGGTGATGACATATTCCTCTTGCTGCTGCACCATCTGTATTCCCTCCTCCACGGCTTCCTCGGTGGTAACCATGGTAACTGTTCCGTCTGCCGTCTCCACGGTGCCCGCCGTGGCCAGCAGCGTGCCGTCACTGATGGCAGAGGCCAGCGTCATTGCCACCTGCTCCGTCAGGCTCTCCGGCGTCGCAATGGTGATGGTGTCACCGCAGTCGGAGATGGATGTGCCCTCCTCGTTCATCGCCACGTTGCGCACAATGATCTGGTGGCTGCCTGTGCCACCGGCGCCGTGTGACTGGCTGACGATACGCTGTACCACTTTCATGATGTGGTTTCCCATCTGGCAGGTAGAGGTTTGATATAAAAAAGTAAAGGAGGAGTTGTAATATAATGAAAGCACAATTAACAGCTCTGATCAGATCCTGTGAATTTCACACTCTGCAACTAACTGCTATAAATCATACTAATATTCTCTTTCGTGTGTGTGTGTGTGAGTGTGTGAGTGTGTGTGTTGGAGTATACTGACCTCATTCTGGCCGTCTTGAATGAGTGTAACCTCTTCTTCCTGCACCTCCTCCTCTGTTTGAGTCTGGAGGATGTGAGAGAAGCAGAGCAAATACAATGAATCACCAAGCATTTAACTGCACCCCAAAAACAAAAATACATACTTTACCTCTTACCTGTAGTGCTATTTATCAGTCTCGATTGTTTTGGTTTGAGTTTGCGAGTGTTGGGAAATATCAGCCATAGTGATGTCTGCCTATAAATAATGGAACTTGACGGCCCTCGGCTTGTGTCTCTTTCCAGTAATCATGACACAGTTACTCCAGATAATCCACAGACCTTGTTGTGAGCAGTTTCATGTAGGAACTATTTTCTTTCTACCAAATTACACCGGCCAACCATATCACCTCACAGAAGGAAGGCTGCATCTACTACTAGCTCACCTAGCATCACTGAAATAGCTTATGTTACAGTTCAGCCGAGGAACTTTTTAAACCTGATGTTAAAAATTTTTGAATTTTGGATTTAGAATGTGATTTTAAGTTACAAAAGTTAGTTAAAGGGTTATTTGCTCACATAATGTGCACAAACAGGAGACGCATGGAACTGGCAGTTCTCGTACATAAATGCCAAGAGTTGCATTGGACAGAGAGGAGAACAAGAGAGGGAGGGGCTGCAAAGCAACTTGGCTGGCAGTGTTTGCATCTGCTTCCCTAGCAGTGGGAGAGATGTACGTAACATGCAGCAGAGAGTGGTGACCATCTGCGCTCCGCATCGCAATGGAGCAGCATGTGCACTCAAAGACAGAGACACACCAAGGGGTGCAGCCCACTCTGCCGACCTGTTGTGTGTGAGACAGAATCTACAACAGTCTCTTTAAACAGCTAAAGGAAGAGAAGAAGGTGCAAGGAAAGATGTCAGCCCTAAGCTTAATAATAAATTATTTAAATATTTTTTTACCGTGGAAATTTGGGTTTTAATCAGACTCTTGGGCAGAAACTATGTGGTTCATGTAGGGTTGGGCCTGAGTTTTTTGGGCCAGATCAAAGCTCTGGATCAGAGTCAGAGTTTGCTGCATTTGGCAAAGGAAAGTGCTCAGTGATTGATTCCAATCAGCCACCTAATTAATTTGCACTTCAATCAGTGATGTAAGTATCAGTATGTACTCTGCTAATGACTGCTAACAGAAAATACCTGCTGTGGACTGGGAGAGAGATGCTTGAACAAGTTTGATCCCAAAAAGTTCCACTTATGATTGACTTTTAACTGCATCTATAGGCTGTGTTGTAAGGGAGGGAAACCACACTGTCTCTTAATCCTACATCCCTGTGTCTCACCTTGATGATGTACTCCTGCGTGTCAGCCACCACTGAGGAGAACTCCACCAGGACAGCATGCGGATCCTCTGAGAGGATGGCTGCTGTAGCCAGGCTGTCCACTGACGCTTGCTCCCCTGTTGCCCCATCCTTCTGCTCACTGGAATCGTCCTTCTGGCAGCCTCCTGGTGGGAATCACAGGTTGTGATATTAGATCTGTCTGTGTCACTGCTGCAAATACCTTTTCTCTCAAAGCATTGTTGTCACACAGACCTTTTGCACGCATATGCCGATTGAGGGTCCCGTGCTCAGCGAAGCCTCGGCCGCACTTTGGGCACTTGAAAGGCTTCTCCCCGGTGTGATGGCGGATATGTCGCACCAGAGAACCTTTCTCCCTGAAACCTCTCAAGCAGAACTGGCACACGTAAGGTTTCTCATCACCATGGGTCCGCTGATGCACCTGCAAGGCATTCTGGGGCCAGACAAAGAGATATGTTAGAGATGACACTGCCTTTTATGTCTCTAAATGACAAGTTGGTGGGAACAAACTAAAGAATGAGACTCACCTTGGTCTTGTACCCCTTGTTGCACCTGGCACAGCGGTAGGGTCTTTCATCTGAGTGGGCCCTCATGTGCTCACGTACATGCCCGATGGTTTTGTACAGTTTGCCACATTCACCACACTTATACCTCCTCTCACTGACATGGACTTCCATATGTTTCTTTAGTAGATAACCAGTCAGGAACTCTTTATGGCAAAGTGTGCACTTAAAGGGCTTGTAACCTGCATGGAGAGCAAAATGTCCATAAAGTGATGCTATCTTCTGATTTTATATTTTGATAAAATTTAATTATAAGAGGGAGCTTACAGTTATGCTGGGAGTCATCATTAATAATTATGGACTTACCCATATGGCCCTTGAAGTGAAAGCGAAAGTAATTCAGTCCCTTGAAAGAGCGATTACAGTGTGGACACGTGTACAGTTTTGAGGATGTTTGACCATTTCCACTACCTGCTTCCTGCAAATGAAACAAAAGCAGACAGTAAAAATAAAGCTGTGCATGCAACACCGGCCCAAGCTCTGCTGAGAACCTGTTCGCATGTTTCCTAAACTGATTGGCAGGGTGGGCTGGTGTCAGGAGACACTGTGCCGACAAAAATGCAAATGTATCGAGGCGAAACGCTGAACGAGTAAATCTGCAGTAGGTTTTTACTTCAACTTTTGCTGGCAAGCGTGGTCACAAACGGTGTCCGACAATCCTGCAAAGTGTACCTTCAAGTATACCAAATTTTAACACTACACATCACACTTGACTCGGCAGCCAACCCCAAATGAAACATAACAAGACTTGGCTCTATTATTATTTCCATTGCTGGCTAAACTGTGAAATAAACTGGTGTAAGCTCATACACCAGACCAAATAAACCAGAACCAACTGTACTGATCAGCTCAGTGCCTCCCCCATCAGTTTCTATTAGTGGTTAACAGCTTTTCTGTTTTGTTACCCTCAAAAATAAAATAAAACAATACTGATTAATTATTAATCACTTCTCTCTAATGTTGACTCTAACTGGCAGCAGAAATCTTGGCAGAACAGTAGGACCTGTGCTCTGGAGCTCAGTCGCAGCATCCTGACACTGTATTTCAAGCACAGAGCATGGTAATGACTCAGCTGACCTGAGGACTGAGGCTGAACACACACAGCAGACCTACCTGTAGCTTACCACATCAGTTTTACAGTCACTCATACTAACACTGCAAACACTGCAGAGAGTTACCGTCAATCTAATAACAAAAAAATAGAAATAACAGAACTTGTTTGAGCAACTAATGTGGACCCTGTTTTCCAAGAGCTGTTTTCGAACACAATACAATGCAGTAAACGTACTGGTCAATCCCGATTTCTCTCATCCTTACCTCTGCCTCCATCTCAACAAACTCTTCTTTGACCTGGATCTCAGTGATATTCTCCTCTGCATCAGGACAGTCAGAAACCACTTTATCCATCTCCTCAGTAGTGTGTGAGGTCTCCTCAACTACAGCTTCCTCCGTCTCCAGTGCAATGCCAGAGTTAATGATGGCCTGGCAGATGAGGTTGTCGCCTGCTGCTGCAGCAGCCGCCAGGGCTTCTGCCTGCGACTGCTCTACTACAACCTGGCCAGAGGCAAAACAACAGGACAACAAAGAAGGTTTGATCAGCGTTACAAGCAAAACTGTCTCATACTCAGCCCATATTGGACTTTTAGCTAAATGTGCACCCTTTCTCTACTCACCTGTTGCTCCTGCGTCGTTCCATTCACCTCCATTGTGAAGTGGACCTGATGAAGGACCTCTTGGGAACCAGAGTCTACCACGCTTACGACAGCTGTCTGAGCCTCAACCATCTCCTGCTCCTCTGGCTGTTGCTCCACAACTACTACCTCCTGCTGCTGGCCAGCCACTGCAGCGCGATCATCTTCAACCCCTGGACAATTCACACACACCTGTCAGTGGCTCAACTGACGGGCACTTCTTCAGGTATTCTAAATATATTCTTGAATCGAGTACTACTACAGCTCATTTGCTTTGATATAACAGCTTGTGCAAGACAATTAAGCTCCTGCTGTATAAGTCTGACCTTTTTGTACTCCATCTTTGCTGACCAAGATCTCCTTGTACTGAACAAAGCGGATCTTTTCAGTGCAGGGTGTGAGGGCCTTGAGGTGTCTGGTGAGAGCACCTGACTCTCGGAAAGACTGGCCGCATAGGGTGCATCGATACGGCCGCTCATCTATAAGAGAACAGGAAGACAGTAGTGTTGTCGTTAGGTAAAATGTGTGAGAGGACATCAATTCATGACAAAAAACAGTCCCTGTTTACTGTCTGTACCAGTGTGACGACGATTGTGACGAATCAGGGAGCCTTTTGTGCGAAAGGAGGTTCCACACAGGTCACATGAGAAGTTCTTCTGGTCACTGTGAGTTTTCATATGAGTTCTCAAGATGTTGGTCTGTTGGAAATTAGAAAATCTCATGTTATTCATCTCAGGTACTTACTTAAGAAAATATAACCAACATTTCCTCATAAAAAGACACACACACAAATTAAATGTACGACTCACTGTTTTAAAGGTCTTGTCACAGAGTTGGCAAATGAAGCGTCCCTCTTGGTTGACTTTGTAAACAGGCTTGTCACTGTCCGCATTGTCAGACAAGGAGCCTTCAGTCCCATCTGAGAGATCTGTGACTTTGAGCGAAATGACTTTCTTCCTTCGACCTCGACCCAATACACCGCTGCTTTCATCTGTGTGGAAAAACAGACAAATTAACAATGCAGTCCCCCCGCAGGTCTGATTCATAGGTTGAAACAAAATGGACGAGTTGACAGATTGATTAGTTATTCTACATAAACAATCAACAACTATTTTTGCCAATGTATTGCTTCAGTCTTCTTTCAAGCAACAATGATGCACCAGAGATACTCAAGTTGCTCTGCCAAGGGGCCACTTTTGCAAAATGACAGAAGGTCAGGGGCTGGTTTCTGGAATTTGAGGACATTCAGGGCTTAGCCCGGACCTCAGTCGGGGGTCCCAGGTAGTCCCCCTCAGGCACTTTTTTAAAAAGACAAGCTCTACTCTGATGCTTTTTCCATGCACTCTGGCACCTTGCATTCAAAATACAAAGAAATTCCCATTTTAACTCAGTTTATTTTAATTGTGAATGAGAAAATGGTCAGCAGGCCACCTGTTACCCTGTCATGGGCCAAATCTGGCCTGCGGGCTCACATTTAGTACCACTGTACTGAGCATTCACTGCTGCTTGAATGTGTCAAATGTATGGATTTGATGCTTTTCTTTGTTATATATGGGAGTAAACTGAATATCTTTGGTTCTGGACTGATGGTTTGTCACCTGTGGGAAATTACAGAAGGTCTTTTTCACAATTTTTCAAGAAAATAATTGTCAATTTAATTTAACAGTTACAGTCTTACAGTTAACTCACCATTAGTGACCTTCACTGGTTCATCCGAGGATGCACCTTCAGCTGTTTTCACCTCTGAAGAACTTCCATTGGCTGCAGTAACCTGGCAAAATATAGACCTTTTTTTAAATTCAGACTTTATTAAGGACACAACTCATGAGGGTCCATAGCACTATGAAATACAATTTAATAATAAAATAACATACAGATAAAAATAGAAGCCAGTTAGATGAGAACCTGATATAGATCAGTTCAGGGTTGAATAAGGCTAACAACACTGTTTATATTATCAGTCAACATACTCACACATCTATATATAGGATTCCTTATTGTAGCAGAGCAGGATGATACACCAAGCAAATTCTTGGAGCTTTACGCAGCAGCTTTATACTGTCATTGTAAGCCACTGTAGTTTAGTTTATCTCCTGCATCCTGTTTTTACTTTGGATATCTGTTTTATTTTACTGTTTCATGTTAGAAGTTGTGTGAAGTTGCTGCTCAAAAATTTGACATTTCCTTCTTTAGGTGTTTCACAATAAAAGTTGATACATAACAAAGTAACTGAGGACTTTTACTGTGAAGAATCTACAGGACTTGAAATGTGTTATTACAGAATTAAGGGAACCTTGTTAGCAGCTTCTCTTCAATAAAGTCAAGTCTAATTATATGGCAGGGAGGAAAGTGAAAGCAGAGACGGCCACAGTGAGATGTTGATGAAGAGCTGCACACAACAGGCTCTTACTGCACCTCTGCAAACAGCTCACCTCCAACAGGTAAACTTATTTTACCTGCCCTGCTGTGGAAAAACACATGCAGCAAAATAGCAGGGGACTTTAGTTAAGTTAAAGAGGGTAGCCCTGCTGTAATGGAAATGCAAATCCCTGCTGTGCTGGGCTGATGGCCCAATTTATAACGCTACAACCATTTCATTGTATATTGTATATATTTCAGATTGTCTATTTTACTATTTTATTATTCATTTTATTTTATTTTATTGTCTACTTTAATATTTTATTTTATTTATTTCATTGTCTATTTTAGTATCTTATTTATATCTTCATCTTTATCTCTTGTTTCCATTCATGCTGTATTTCTATTTCTACTTTGCACAGAGCATTGGAACAAAAACAATTCCCCCCCGGGGATTAATAAAGTATTCTGAATCTGAATCTGAATCTGAATCAAACCAAGCCAAACCAAGCCAAGCCAGCTGTGAATGTGGAAAAGGGGTATAAGTTTCTGCATGTTACCTTTTTTTTAATAGCAATGCCACAGGTGGGCAGGATATAATGGGGTGCAAAAAGCTTTAAAAAATGAAGCCTTCACAAACAGAACACATATTGAAGCTACAAGCCAATATGTTTGCTTGTGCATACAACTTACAGCAGTCTGTAAATATCCTTAACACTGATAGAGCATTGATTTTGTTATGGCCCAGATATTTAGTCCCATTATGCCAGACTGAATGAAATCAGGAAACACTAACTTTCTGTCCTCTCTACTTCTGGTGATCATAATGCAACTCTTTTTGCACAATATGTGATGTCAACATCTATCCCATATTGTGAGCATATCCTCAAAAACTGTTGAAGACAATCATCCATTCAATATAAATGATTTACCACTGCTGTTTTTCCTTGATATCAAACCCACAGATCACAGTTCATACCTCTTGACTGGTCTCCACACGTTTACAGTTGTGCTGCAGCTTGTGCTGGATGAAAGCCTCCAGCGTGGAGAACTCGGACTGACAGCGTCCGCACTTGTGCACATCTTCATCTGACAACACAAAGACATGCACATTACAAAATGAGACAACTTCATTATCTGTTTGTACTCCCAGATACCACCGAGCTGATGTAAACGTTTCTGAACACTGCTGACTGGCTGCACTTCTAATCTGAGTAAAGCTAATACCTAGCTAATGTTGTTGCTAACGGCAGCTAGCCGCTAGCAACATTTCCTGATGGAGGAAGTTAGCTAGGCCCAAACACAACATTTGATAAATATTTCAGTCTTGTTCCAGCGAGACAAAGTTCAGACCTTCATCTCCCAGTGTTGTCTGAATGGTGATCGTCTCGTTGCCGTTTGTCGTTTGCTCAGTCTCTGTTTCTGCCGTATGATTATTTTCTACATTCATGTCGTTCGAATTCTCCGTCTCTGTCGCAACGCCGCTACAAGGAGGGAAAACATGGCGGATTTACGACCTCGTAGTCATAACAACAAAAGGGCGTGTGCGCGTGTCTTTTTCATCTTTTCACCAACAGAGAGGAGAAAACAAGCTTTGATCTAAATTTAGCCTCAAATCACGTGTGAAATATATCTCAAAATGTTAGGACAATACTCCTAAAATGCATATAGGCATAAAATGGCTTCCATTAATCCCTTTACATATTTACATATGTGATGAGTATGTGATTATTAAGACTATATTCACTATTTTGACTGTGTTAATTGCATGTATATTTTTGCACTGGCAACCAAAATGTCCTTCAACATTATCTGCATGTGCAGCTGTCTGTCTTACAGTAATAATGTAAGATACAGTGGTGTACAAAGTGCTCAGATGTTCTGCTTAAATGCAAATAGCAGTACCACAGTGTGGAAATACTGCACTTAAAATTTATTTAAGTAAGAGTGTATAAGTATTAGCATCAAAATGTACTTAAGTTACCAAAAGGGAAAGTACTCATTCTGCAGAATGGCCATTTTTGGATTTGAATTATTGGTGTATTATGTGAACATCACTTTAATGTTGCAGGTGGAAAGGTGATGCTCATTTTAAGTACTTTATATCACACTGCGTAGTTTAACCGTTAGGCTAATAATACACTATAATCTATTAGCTGATTTATATTTAGTACTACTAATAATCTGACAATGCAAAGTGAGGAGTAACTTTGAAATAAATGTAGTAAGGTAAAAAAGTACAATATCTCCCTCTAGGATGTAGTGAGTATAAAGTAAAAGAAAATGTAGATATTCAAGTAAAGTACAAGTAGCTCAAAATTATACCGAAGTGCAGTACTTGATTAAATGTACTTAGTTACATTCCTTCACTGGTAAGATGAATGACAAAGTTATGATAAGATGCTTTTACTAAACATTGGAAACATATTCAAAGCAAAATTACTAGTGAATTGAGCTGAGTTGGTCAAGCATGGAAAAGATTTGGTACCCCATATTATCAAAGGACCTGAAAGCCATTGTTTATGTTGTTGACTTCCTTTCTAATTTGAATCAGAATATGCAGATAAATGATAAAATTATACCATGACCAGAAATAAACAATCACCCCCTCTCCCTCCTGAAAACATTCAAACTCTTACACAATCTGACTATAAATGCAGAGAACCTTAAAGGCATCACAGCTTCTTTAGGTCTGACAAAATGCAGTTTTAGGATCCAACGATTGTCTCTACTTTCTCCAGGAACCCAATGATATTGATCCAACAAATTATCATTTCTGTAAATCAAAAGTTATCATTACTGTATTAATTTTTACACAATACTTTTGGTATTTAATATTGACAAAAAGGCCTTCAGAGCTGATAAGGTGGCAGCAATAAAAAGGACAAATGTGACAGCATATAGCTTGGAGGGGGATTAGTGAACTTTTCTCCTTTAAAGAGTAGGTCCCAAGTGTATAAAGTTGCCATGTATTCTCTAATGAGGACCTGGGATTTACCGACACACAGCGGTAGCAACTGAAGGCCAGACCAGGCGGGAACCTTGCATGTATATAATAGTTCACAAATCAATTTATTGTTGTCACTGTAAATTGTCTTGCAGGGGACTTGCACCAAGAAACAAGAATCTGCACTGTACAAACTACACAAAGAAAAATATTAATATTCATATTCATGCTCATATACAATTAATATGAAATTACTGAAAACAATGACTAAAATACGTAAAGGTAGAGTTTACAGGAAGAAGCTTTCATATAAAATGTAAAATTAGCTCTAGTTTGGAAAGAGCAAGGATTTGGTGAGGGCTTGTAGCTGTGGATATGTTTTGTTTTTATTCAATTTAATTTAATTTTGTTTTTTATTCTATTTTATTTTATTTTATTTATTTTTGTATAGACATAAAGTTAAACTTATAATTACTGTTTATTTCTGACCTGTCTTGACCTCTCTTTCTCCCCAATGCCTAACAGCTTTATTTTATTTTTTTAATTACTTTATTTTATCAGCAGCATTTTAAAATTATATGCATATATATTCCTCCTCTTATAATTTACAACACGTCTGAAACATATAGGATAGAGATAACTATGATAAATATATCCACAGTGTAAGAGCTGATTGAGAAACACACCAACATGTGGTTGACAGTGAGCTATTCACGACACAAGTGTAAACAACAAACACTTTACGGCAGTAGATATGGCGTCTCAGTTCAGCGGTGTGCTGCAGCTGACAGATCTCGATGATTTTATCACCCCGTCTCAGGTAATTGAAGTTATATCAAATGTCATAACACCAGGTTTGTTGTAAAAGGACGTAGTTAACGCTAATGAGTCGCTGACAATGTAAAAGCAGCCGTTAGATAAAACGTACGGAAACAGCTAGCATGCTAACTAACTGTTGTCTGTCCTCGTCTGTGCTGCTGTGTGTGAGAACAACTCAAAAATAACCGGTAACATTAACCCTGCTTAACAAAAGCCAATGAATAAAGAATATCAACTAATTGGTTTAATAGCTGCTCATGGTAAAACCAGCTAACATTAAAAATATTAAATGCGTGTTTAGCAGTTAGCTTGATGCTAATGTTAGCAATGATGTAACGGTGACATAGCAGTGTTGGGTAATAACTTGGTTTAAGTGCATATAGATATGTTATAGTTTCTCTCAATAGACAAAACGTTACTGTTGCTTGAATTATTACCCGAAATGTTCAACTGAATGTCCTTGATATATTTTCAGTTCATATATTTAGATGTATCACCTATGCAGAATGGTATGACACTGATGATAAGCGTTATAAACTATAATTTCTTAACTGTCGTGAGGCATTTAATATTTTCCTGTGGTGTTTGTGAAGGGAAAACAAGTTAAATGACTGATGGATCTGTCTAGACACGTTAGTCTATCTAAATCCCAATTTAAAACTCTTTTCATTTTTTTAAATAGTTAATTTTTTAAGCCCATTTTCATACAACTCACTTGCTTTTTAGTTTACAATTACAAACGAGGAAAGAAAAGGAGAAAAATAACTAAACAGATGAGACAGGGGATAACTGATAGTAGAAGATAATAACGGATACGTTTTAATATGCAAAGACAGTATAGTTACAGTGTCCCAGTGACTAAGAGTAACTGGAGGTTTTCCCAAAATAATATGCTCTGCTTTTAAATACAGTTTTTTAATATCTCTTCCATTATTGTAAACACTTTTAACCAATATGTGTTTAATACTTTACATGAGTAGAAATTGTGTAAGCAGTTAGCATGATCTTCTCCACAGTTCCTCCAGCATTGAGAGCTTGAGCTCCTCTATTTTGAGATAATTTCTGGAGTCGAGAAGTATCTCATATTTATTTTCCAAGCAAATTCTCTCCAAAAATAATCAAAACTCATTTCAAAACTCATTGTGTGCAGGAAAGGTTTTTCTATTTCAATATGTGGAATGAAGTTATGGAAGAGTTTGAATGTGGAGCTCAAGCAATGTCCAAGCTTACATTAATTTAAGGTGTAAAGACATGATATTCAGGAGGTAAAGGGTTGAAGAAGGGGTTTGACATTTACCAGGTGTTCACAGGGATGACTGTCTATTTTCTCTACTTATATATACTTATATATTTATTGTATTTTTCTGTAATTAATGTATTAACATGTGAATTTTTTTGTGTGACAAAGTTAAAAGGTAATAACAATGGTATATTTAGAAAAGTCTTACGTATAGGTCTGTTTCATTTCACTCAATGACTTATGGAGGAGTGGGATTTTAATAAGTGCTTCCTCCCACTCCTTTTTGAAAGTGTAAATCAAAGTAACTACATTGACAATTGCTTTTCATTATGCTTTTTGTTATTTTTTTACATGTTCGAAAGATGGTGTTGACCTCTAATAATGTTTGTTTTTTTGTTTTCCATTCAATTTCTGTTCTTGTTTGTTTTGTTCCCTTTGTTTATCTTGTTCAAAAAGTTAATTAAAAACAAACTGAACACAAGTGTTTTGTAGTTTGGTTTACATGTGTGGTTTCTGTTTTGCAGGAATGTATCAAACCTGTGAAAGTAGAGAAGAAACAAGGTAAATCTGTGGCCAAAATTCAAATAGAAGACGATGGTAGTTACGTTCAAGTCAACCAGGTAGGTATCAAGGCCTCATCAAAACCTGTGTGTGAAGTAAAATTTAAGTATTGCACCACTTTTTACCCTGAGCTTATTCGCTCTGTGTTTGCAGGATGGTGGGAAGCAGAAGCTGGAGAAAGCAAAGATCTCACTGAATGACTGTTTGGCCTGCAGTGGTTGTATCACCTCAGCTGAGAGCGTCCTCATCACGCAGCAGAGCCACGAGGAGCTCTTTAAAGTGCTGCGCAACAACAAGGTAGAGATGGGTTTATGTGTTTGCTTGTGTAGTGCATTTGTGTGTGTGATAGTAATAGGTTTGGGTGTCACTGTATGTGCCATCTGCCTTCACAGGCCAGTCCAACAGAGCAGAAGGTGGTGGTGGTGTCGGTGTCACCGCAGTCCAGAGCGTCCATCGCAGCATACTTTGACCTCAGCAGTAGTGAGACAGGCAGGAGGCTTACTTCTTTCTTCAAAGGCCTTGGTGAGTGTTGTGTTTATTTAAATCATTCAACTCAAAGTAAAACAGGAAATTAAATATGAGAGGTTGATTTCGGCAAATGCAGTCACTTATGAAGATTATTATCATTATTGCAGGCGTTCATCATGTGTTTGAAACAAGCTTTAGTCGGACCTTCAGCCTGCTGGAGAGCCAGAGAGAGTTTGTGGAGCGTTTCCAGAGGAAGGAGCAGGACAACAATTCACTTCCCATGCTGGCATCTGCATGTCCAGGTATTCCTCTACAAAACCTGTTGGTTTAATTTTGTGTGTTGCCATGCTGCAGACCTGTGTTGCTTGGCCTACAACACATCCCCCCCCCCTACATTTCTAATGATTTCAGTGTTTGCTCATAGACTTCTTCATCGCACCTGTCTTTATGTGTGTGTGTGTGTGTGTCTTGCTCAGGTTGGATTTGCTATGCAGAGAAGACCCACGGGGAATTTATTCTTCCATACATTAGCACTACTCGCTCCCCGCAGGCGATGATGGGCTCTCTGGTTAAAGGCTATTTTGCTGAACAACAGGTACAGGGACCCAGCATATCAGATATCAAACAGTGTGCACCACTTTATGAGTTGCCTTTGAGCTGTGTTTTGTGTGTGTTGTTAGGGGCTTAGTCCACAGCAGATCTACCATGTGGCCGTCATGCCCTGCTTTGACAAGAAGCTTGAGGCCTCGAGGTCAGACTTCTACCTGGAGAAAGCCGAGACTCGAGAAGTAGACTGTGTCATCACATCTGGTACAGTAGCTGCTCTCATTATGATGTATGTCCATGTGGATGTGGAGTGTCTCCTCCCTTATACTTTTCTCATGTCTGATATAGGAGAGGTTCAGAAAATGCTGGAGGAGAAAAACGTGTCTCTTAATGATGTGGAAGCTGCGCCTCTCGATGCGATGTAAGTTCTTTGGCATTTTGTTTTTGTAAGCAAAAGCATGAACTGCCAGAAGAGTAGATGAACTTACACACTACTTATTACTCCAGGTTCAGCAGTGTGAGTGGGGGCGAGTACCTCAGCCATGCCGGCAGCGGGTCAGGGGGTTACCTCCATCATGTCTTCACTCATGCTGCCAAGCACTTGTTTGGGGAAGAGGTGAAGGAGCTCACGTACAAGACCCTCAGGTGAGTCTGTCTCAACAGCTTTAAGAAGCGTCACTGCTTTGTGTAATTTGTGGAGGCGCATTACGCCTGGAACAGTCGAGCTTGGATTCAGTATGAATAAAGTGATCCCAGTGATCCTAAAGTAGCTTTCCTTGAAGATGATGCTTAATTATACCGTCACTCAACCAGACCCTGTCTACAGCAGGACATTGCGTAACTCCCGTGTCAGTACTCCTTCCTGCCTCTCCAAACTAGGGGCATGCCAAACAATATTTACTATATGTAACACACAGACTGTGGATAAATAGCTGATACAACCACACTTCAAGAGATCCAAACTATCCCTTTAGTATCGTGTTAGAGGCTTTACATGTGCAGGCCGAAGTATACCAGCTTATTGTCAAACCCTGTTTTCTCACCTCAACCTCTCTGCCACAGGAACAAAGACTTCCAGGAAGTGACTCTAGAGAAAGATGGAAAGGTCGTGTTGTGCTTTGCTTCCACATACGGCTTCCGCAACATCCAGAATTTGGTGCAGAAACTGAAGAGGGGAAAGTCGCCATACCACTTTGTAGAAGTTATGGCCTGTCCATCAGGTAAAGTGAAATATGCAGATGTAAACATGGAACGAGTTCTGTCCCAGTTCACGCACCTAATTTTGAATTGTCCAGAGCATTTCAACCAATAATAATAGATACCAGATGGATAACTGACATGCAAAAGTTGCACAGTCATCTCAGCACCACTGCTGTACTTATTTGATATTAGGAGAAGTTTGCAGGCAAATCAAAGTGATAAACCCAGCATGTTTCCTCTTCTTATCATCCAGGCTGTCTAAACGGTGGCGGACAGCTGAAGCCCAAACCTGGTCAGAACCCAAAGGAGCTTCTCCAGAAGGTAGAGGAGCTCTACAAGGCAGAGCGCCCCCTATCACCAGAAGAGGACGCCCGTGTGGCCGAGCTGTACCAGTCCTGGCTCCACAGTGTGGGGGAGGAGAGAGCCAAAGAGCTGCTGCATACAAACTACCACACCGTGGAGAAGATGACGAACGGACTCGCCATGAAGTGGTGACGAAAGCTTTTGCTGCAGTCCATGATTAGCTGAGAATTTTTTTAACAAGCACTGATTACAGAACCGTCCAAATACATGTGACCAGTTCTGTCTCTCTTTACAGAGGAGGGTTACAGGAAATATAGGCTGGTGTGATGTATGCCAGTAACTTCAGTAACCACTTTATCTCGTCTGTTGTGTGCCTGACAAAGTGGAGGAGACACAGTAGACACAATAATGATGCCAAATTATGGATGTGGTCTGATCATTTGCAGCTATCCTGCTGATTGTCCTTTCAAATAAGAATAATTCATTTGTGTGGGACCTGTTACACTTTGAAAACCTGAGCTGAAAGAACACAAAGCAAATATAATCATTCCTTGTTTATTTAACCGCATGGTTATATAAATATATATTAAAAAATAAAGACTTTATTTAATTGTAGCCATTTCCTTTGTAAGTTCTTTTTAAAAGATGTCCAACAGAATATCAATTCAGACTCATATCTTTTATTGAATAATCTTGACTGATGTACAATTATAGGTTCTCGCAAAGTGAAGTTTTACTCACTTTGAGACGAAAAGCAGCAATTTACATTCATAGGGTTGTACACTGCATGTTTCTTTTACCATTGTACAATTTATGAGTGCAAAATATCAGACTCCAGTTTCAAAATGCTCTGTGTAAGGTGAAGCCTAAATTATACACACATATACTTATATTGTATTTTACAGTAAATCAATTGTGTGAAGTCAAACTGCTTAAGTAAGGAAGAGAAATCGTACAGAATATATACAGTATGTCCAAAGTGAAGGTAGTTAAAAAGTAAAATAAAATGCAGTGGCAGTCACAAGGTTACAGACAGAAAACTACCCAGAGACATCAATAAAGAGATCAAAAGCGGATAAAGGAAATATTCCAATACAAATAAGTTATAAAGAAAGGTTATTTTTATCCCCACACCATTAATTAAAACAATAAATACACAAAAAAAACACATTAAAATCAATGGAAATTGATATGAGCTGACATTACCTGCTGCAGTTTGTGTGTGCATAACAGACTGGGAGACCAGCCCCTTAATTCATTAATATAGCTTGTAGGAGTATTAAACGAAAGCAGCTTTACTCTGGCCTTTTTGTGCAGACATTGTTTTTAATTACTAAAACAGAACACACAGGGCCGACCAGGCTCCCAGCAGTATAAATTCAGTGTTAACTAACGCAACAAACAGCACACTCTACAGTGTTGTGTCTTGCTGCATTCAGGCGTTCAATCTACTCGTCCTTGATAGCCGAGTATGTCACATGTTCAGATCTCACGGCCTGAGAAGCCCCCACTCCAGAGCCAACATGGCGTGAGGAGGAAGTCTCTCCTTGGGCTTCTTAAATTTATCCTTCTCCTTCCGCAGGACCCTCAGCACCTCTATGGGGTCCGTCTTCCCAGTGAACTTTTGTACTCCTTCCTCCCTAAAGTAAAGGACGAGGATTAGAAATAAGTATTAACAACTGAGATAAAGTATTAAATACAAAATTATGGCAGGAAAAGTCATGATTTTTGAAACCACTGATTAACCCACTTGCTCAAGGACTGCATACTACATGTGCCAGACCTCAACAGCGGTGGCTAGTCTTGAGCCTCCCCAGCAAGGCTAGCAATGGATTCCACATCCATAAAAGTGAAGTCTCTGAGGAAAATACTGAATTTAATAGTGCATGGACAGGTTTGTTTGGTATCAACGCCAGTGCTGCAAAGTTCCCAAATAATCATAGATAGCCCACTGCAGAGGAGCCATCTTGTGGTAAAACATATTTTTGAATGCTTATTTAGATCAATTTTTAATGTCACTAGGCTAATTTGGACTTAATATGCTGTGTTACCATGGGGCTAAAATACGTTTTGCAGCTCAAGGCAGATTTACATACAATTTTGACATTTTAAGATCACACGAATAAACACTTTAATCGATAGTCAAAGTTATGATTTTTGAAAAATTAGGAAAAACACTCATTTTACACTGCATATGCGTATGAATGTTTGATTTTCAACTTGTTATGAGTTTGTAGATACCAAATATGTTACTGTGCTCCTTGCTGTTTCTGAGCCATTTTCTTATCATACTGTTCTAGTTTCAGGGCACATGGGAGTAACATTTTTTCCAAAGATAAAGAATATATAGAAACTGTAGTCCCATCCCATGTGCCCAAATACTAGATATAGTATGATAAGAAAAACTCACTTTTCAGCCACATGGTTTTACTGATATGGAAAATTTCTTCAAACTGGTGCCTAGTCAAACCCAGAAAACACTCCCACGAAAGGAAATTCAAAATGTCAGCTGCAGGCACAAATGGGTTCATCTGGAAACAAGCCCACCAAATGAGCCTGTTTTACAAAACTGTCAAGTAGACTGCAGCACTGGTACACAGAGTGTTTCATCATTAAAAGAGTGACCAAGAGTAAACATATATCATTTACTGAAAACACTACAAGAAGCCCAAATACAGGCGTACAGACAAAATACATCTGAATGAGACGATAACATAATTTGAATGGATAACAAAACGACACAAAAGAAGACAATCTGAATCCAGAGTTGATTGACAAACTCTACAGATGGCTAAACATATTCTTTTTCACCTAGCCTATCCTTTAAAATCACAGATATATTATGTATATAAACACCATAACTCACGAGAGGCGAAGAAAAGGGTTGTACTCAAACTCCTCCATTAAAGTGGATGGCACTGTGGGTTTGTCATCATCGTCTCTGGCCTGCAGACACAAACAATGTCAGATAATAAAGCGAAAAAAAAAAAAAAAAGATTTTCCATCCATATTTAAAGACTAAAACTGGCAATATTCTATATTTTTGTTTTTGTCATCAAATCACATTAAAAGACCAAAACCAACGATTGTTGAATGCATTTATCCGACTAACTGTGTAGCCGTGCCCAAAATAGCTTATTACACTGCTCCATAGTCCTCCACTGTTGTCTCACAAACTATTGTAAACACTTCAGTGAGCCAACGTCATTACCTTCAACATGAGCACTGTAGGTTATTTTTAATTCAGTCCTACAAACATGTCCTGCTGCCAGAAATAAACACTCACTGGAGCGTCAAATATGTATTAATCCACAGCTGAAAATAGTCCCTAGCAAATGTATTGTTTACTCAGTGCCCAGACATTATTTAATATACTTTATACTTAAAAAAAAACAACTAATTATTATGTCTTTATAGGGAACAAATGGGCCTGGAGCTGAAATGGGTAAGTACAGTATTATGACACAGACTAATGCACTGTTTAGGTTTTGATCATAGACTGTAAATATAATGGACATAGCCAAAATGACATCAGCCACTGGTTTGTGGACGTACCCTCGTACAGTTGTCATGAACGAGGAAATTTGCTAGAGACAAAAACTTATCTACCAGGCTGGACATTTTAACATGTGGGTCTATGGGGTTTGACTCACTTCTTGGAGCCAGCCTCAAGTGGCCGTTCAGGGAACTGCAGTTTTTGAAACTTCTCTTGTTGGCTTCATTTTTCAGCCTCTGCGGTTATCAGTTGGTTTTGGCCTTTTGTTGACAATAACAAGCACATTTTAGTTGTAATGCTCACCCGGGCCCAGCTCAGCATCTCTTTAACCTTTTCATTCTCTGGCTCCACCAGCAGGGCAAACTTCAGGTTCTTAATGGTGTATTCGTGTCCACAGAACACCTTCTACAGGTGAACAAAGCATGATTTAATGTCAGGATTTCTGGTTAACTCACACACACAGCAGTGCAGTTTGGGTTTTGTGCCATTTTTGAGATGTCTTGTGCTATGAAGGCAGAAAAGAGAGCCAGGCTGTACTCAATCCCCTCATTGTACGTGTGTTTATTCATCACTGTGACTCAGCCTTATACCAGCTCTTATCTGACGTCATGTTAGCTGTCGTTAACCCCATGAAGGCTGAAGACAGCCACGCCAAATATCTTTTATTTCCACTAACCGTGTCTTGAGGTAGGGAGCCGAGCACCTGGGTGAGATTGTGGTGCATCTGTTCTGCCGTACCCTCAAGAAACCGCCCGCATCCACCGATAAACAACGTGTCTCCTAACGACCAAAAGAAAGGACAAGTGGAGGCAGAGGGCAGAGGTCAGTCCCTGTCATCCCACACGGCGAGAACAAAAGGACAATGTGCTGCTCAACAAGGATTCATATCTCTAGCCACTCAAGATGAAGTTATTTCGCAGCAATTGATGCCACATGAAGTGGCCGTGCCTTCATACAGTGAGTGTACAGTAAGCAGTGTGCATAGATGTACGTCTCAGATTTCAACTGGTTCACCAGCTCTGTATGTTTACAGACAAAGACCTGTGAACACAGCAGGGGCGTCAGTGCACTCATCCTCCCAAACAAAGTAGCACATGTGACCAGAGGTATGGCAGGGAGTAAATAGGCACCTCACATTGATGGAGTTAAACTGCAAATGGAGAAAACACAGTATCAAAAGACAACACGGCAGAGACACAAGAAAACTGGGCTTTTTTTTTCATAATTAACATGTTGAAATCATAACTGAGATGTTTCCGTTGCATGTGGGCACCTTGAGTTCCTGGGCGTCTGTGACTTTATCCGTCAGACCCCCAATACGATCGTCTCCTCCGTACACCCTCAGCCCAGGAACATCCTTTAGCAGAGCCTCATTCCCCCGAGCGTGGTCCCTGATCAGTGAAAGCAGGTTGGTTAATTATTAACTTTACAGCGATGTGTTCAGGTGCTCTGGTGTTATTGATTTACTTTAAGTCATGGCTACCTCCTCTAGTGCCAGACTTACCAGTGATGGTGTGTGGTGAGGATGGCTGTCAGAGACAAGCCCTCTCTCTTCACTATTTCTAGCAGCTGTTAAAGAGAAAAACACGTCTACCTGTCAATCAACAGGAAAATACAGTAATCAACCATTATTTTGATACACGATTAATCATTAAAGTGCCAAACATTCATTGGTTTTAGCTTCGACATTGTAAGGATTTGTAGGTTGGACAAAACAGGCAACTTGATGACATCACTTTCGGTGATTAATTATTTGTTATTTTTTCCACTTTTTTGTCTCAATATTATGCTTACAGTATGTGTTTCATACAGTACAGGCCAAAAGTTTGGACACACCTTCTCATTCAATGCGTTTTCTTTATTTTCATGACTATTTACATTGTAGATTCTCACTGAAGGCATCAAAACTATGAATGAACACATGTGGAGTTATGTACTTAACAAAAAAAGGTGAAATAACTGAAAACATGTTTTATATTCTAGTTTCTTCAAAATAGCCACCCTTTGCTCTGATTACTGCTTTGCACACTCTTGGCATTCTCTCCATGAGCTTCAAGAGGTAGTCACCTGAAATGGTTTCCACTTCACAGGTGTGCCTTATCAGGGTTAATTAGTGGAATTTCTTGCTTTATCAATGGGGTTGGGACCATCAGTTGTGTTGTGCAGAAGTCAGGTTAATACACAGCCGACAGCCCTATTGGACAACTGTTAAAATTCATATTATGGCAAGAACCAATCAGCTAACTAAAGAAAAACGAGTGGCCATCATTACTTTAAGAAATGAAGGTCAGTCAGTCCGGAAAATTGCAAAAACTTTAAATGTGTCCCCAAGTGGAGTCGCAAAAACCATCAAGCGCTACAACGAAACTGGCACACATGAGGACCGACCCAGGAAAGGAAGACCAAGAGTCACCTCTGCTTCTGAGGATAAGTTCATCCGAGTCACCAGCCTCAGAAATCGCAAGTTAACAGCAGCTCAGATCAGAGACCAGATGAATGCCACACAGAGTTCTAGCAGCAGACCCATCTCTAGAACAACTGTTAAGAGGAGACTGCGCCAATCAGGCCTTCATGGTCAAATAGCTGCTAGGAAACCACTGCTAAGGAGAGGCAACAAGCAGAAGAGATTTGTTTGGGCCAAGAAACACAAGGAATGGACATTAGACCAGTGGAAATCTGTGCTTTGGTCTGATGAGTCCAAATTTGAGATCTTTGGTTCCAACCGCCGTGTCTTTGTGAGACGCAGAAAAGGTGAACGGATGGATTCCACATGCCTGGTTCCCACTGTGAAGCATGGAGGAGGAGGTGTGATGGTGTGGGGGTGTTTTGCTGGTGACACTGTTGGGGATTTATTCAAAATTGAAGGCACACTGAACCAGCATGGCTACCACAGCATCCTGCAGCGACATGCCATCCCATCCGGTTTGCGTTTAGTTGGACGATCATTTATTTTTCAACAGGACAATGACCCCAAACACACCTCCAGGCTGTGTAAGGGCTATTTGACCAAGAAGGAGAGTGATGGAGTGCTGCGGCAGATGACCTGGCCTCCACAGTCACCGGACCTGAACCCAATCGAGATGGTTTGGGGTGAGCTGGACCGCAGAGTGAAGGCAAAGGGGCCAACAAGTGCTAAACACCTCTGGGAACTCCTTCAAGACTGTTGGAAAACCATTTCAGGTGACTACCTCTTGAAGCTCATGGAGAGAATGCCAAGAGTGTGCAAAGCAGTAATCAGAGCAAAGGGTGGCTATTTTGAAGAAACTAGAATATAAAACATGTTTTCAGTTATTTCACCTTTTTTTGTTAAGTACATAACTCCACATGTGTTCATTCATAGTTTTGATGCCTTCAGTGAGAATCTACAATGTAAATAGTCATGAAAATAAAGAAAACGCATTGAATGAGAAGGTGTGTCCAAACTTTTGGCCTGTACTGTATATATGTTATGTATTTTTTCTATCTCACCAATCCTTTCTGACTAATGTAGGGGAGAGCAGGGTTGGTTGTCACATTCATTAGCTGTGCATTCCAATACTCACACTACCATACTATATAGTATGCCAGAAATAGATTTAGTATGTCCCAGTAATAATAAATTATAAAATCAAATTAGATATTAAAGGAGTTGCAGCAGTGTGAAGCGTAAATACAAAGAGTCTCAGACCTGTATCAGGAAGTCAGAGCTAGTTAAAGGCTGAAGTGAACAGATACGTTCTTAGCTTTCTTTTAAAAATATTTAGCAAGCTAGCTTCCCTGATATCTATATGTAGTGTGTTCCTTAGCTTTGGGGCCTCATTGACAAAGGCTGCATCCCTGATCTTCTTGTGGTTGTTGCTGGTAACCTCCAATAAACCAGCAGCAGATGATCTCTGTGTTCTTGGAGGCAAATAGTTAACAAGGTAGTTAGCAATGTGGCTCTGTCCCAGCCCATGTAGGGCTTTGTAGACAAGGAGGAGCTTTAAATCAATTCTAAATGTAACAGGAAGTCAGTGCAGAGCAGCTCGGACTGGCCTGATGTGCCCTCTCCTCTTGGTTCTGGTTAATAGCCGAGCTGCAGAGTTTTGAATGAGCTGGTCGCTAAGTGGTGTTTTTGGGAAGCCAGTAAAACGTGTGTTACAGTAGTTGATTTGGCTTGAAATAAAGGCATGAATCAATTTCTCTGCGTAAAATGTATTTGACAGTCCACATCTTCTGAACAGAGTAAGCTTAGGGAGAGTGATGTCACTCCATTCCTGCCTGGCACTTTGAGCTTCCATTACACACTGAGTGGGGTCAAATCAAACTAAAACTTGGGACGACCAACCCTGTTCTCCCCTATTATGTTTTATCATTTTGCTATTTTGCTAATCCTTATGACATATGCACCTTCTGGCATCCTGAGGACATCTGTTGGACAAGACAAAAAAATAAAAATAATAATAATGTGCATCATATGGACACAGGACAGGAGTGTGTGTGTGTCTCACCCGGTGTGGTACAGCAGGGTCCACAGCTATGGCCTGTTTACTCTGCTCCTCAATCACCAGGTACATGTAGTTGTCCTCCAGGATGGAGATGACCTTTACCTTCATGGCACCCTCTGACGCATGCGCAGCACAGTGCGCGACACTTCAGGAAGAGTTTGATTAGTCATCGTTACTTATATCATCCTGCTCTCATCTGCACCAGGTGTTAATGCATCTCTGATATGATTAAGCATTAAGTTAGCGAATAAAAAAGCTAATAAAAGCATGCTACTATGACACGACTGTTCGCAGCACCAGCGTTAAAACTGCCTCTGGTTCGGCTGATGTGTCATGACACTGAGCATTCAGGCCGAATTAAACAATGTATGCACATTAATAAAAATACAGTTACCTGAGTTTGACTGATTCCGATGAGGCTGTTTTATTCTTGTCCGACTGTGATGCTGTGAAAATGATTATTTACATGCATTCAGACTGAGAAGTTATCGCGACATCATCGAGCCAACATGTCAAAGCGAAGACATTTTAATCGAGCCGGAAACATTCAACGATGTCTTTCAATCTCTGGTACATTATTATAAATTATATATTACAAATATATTGTTGTAAAGTCGTCAGTTAATGAACTTAATTCATATATTACGTGTTTTTTTTTTTAATTAATTTTGTTCTAGATGAATGTGAATTATCTATCTATCCAAGTCTGGTTAAGTGGATGGATGTGTACTGTTTGCATATAATTAGACTTGGTTGAAAATAAATCTTATTTAAATAATATTTGATTTCAAAATGATATAAATTCAGATATGCATGTCAAATACTGTCATGGAAATTAATGTTCTAATCACTTATTACCAGTAGTAATTTACTCAAGTACTACTGTTCAGTTTAATTTCCAGGTGCTTTACTTGAATATATAAGTTTTCTGCTGTAGTTCTACTTCACTACATATTAGGGGGAAAAAAACCTTTTTTTTTTCTCATCTTGCTTCACCATATTTTTGACACCTATAAAAGGTTACATCCTGCTGAGACCTAAATTTTTGTTTGGTATGCATTTCTCAATTTCTCCTAGCTATTTGGGATCAGTAGGACCTGATAAGTATAAAAAACACAACTAGATATAACAAGGCAATAATAAAGTCCCAATGTCCTAAAACGAGATGACAATGTCCCAGTGTCCTAAAACGAGATGACAAAGTCTCAATGTCTTCAAACAAGACAACAATAAAGTCCTAATGTCCTCAAACGAGCTGGTGATAAATTCCCAGTGTCCTCAATCGAGTACTATCTAATAAACAGTGTTTTAGCTTGTTACTGTTGCTAAAATGGGTAAAATTTGTTGGCCTATCAAACAATAAACGTTATTAATCATAAATAAACATATTTCAACCATAAAATGTGATCAGCTTTTGTACATTGTCCACTTTTGTGTTGGGATCAGCTGCAGACTGACTTGGCAGAGATGGTGGCCATCTTGTTTTTACATGGGTTAGTGTATTGTGCTCTTACTACCACTAGATGGCACAAAATAGTGTCCACAAACAAGGACAACAGGTCTAAGTTAAGTAGCTACAATTTTTTATCTAAAGCATAAATAATCATAAAATGAAATACATTTATATAGATTTAACTACACATCAGTACCCTTCTACACAGCCATGATGTATAGTCAGGACTACATGGTAATGCACAATTGATAATCTGATAATATAATATGATTCATCAATGGGATCATTCTGCACAAATTCTGACTGCAAGACTTTTATTTCTACGGACTTAAAATAAATGTTTTATTGCCTATTTCCAAAGAACATCATGCAAGTATTCTTTGTAAGATTGTACTTCACATGCAAAAGAGCATTTAGGGCATCTAACATTTAATGCTGACACACCGATGAGTAGGCAAAGCTTGGCTCACAGAATGCTTTTAAATAAAGGAAGAAATTAAAAGCGCTTGCGCCAGATTTGACGTAATTAACAATGAAACTAAAAGCCTCCGAGCAAATATGTAAAGAAATGCCATGAGGAACATTTAAGTTGATATGAATCTTTACAGACAAAGAAAATATTTTATCAATTTACAGAAATTTTACACATATTCTAACATTTGTTCCTCAGACGGCTCCTGTCATGTTAATTTTTTTTAATTAACACTTAATGAGTAGTAGTTTGTACACTGATATATTACAACAGGACACTAAATAGACTCTAAAACTCAGATTTACAGATGAACAAACTCATTTCTCATTTAGAGCATTCAATGAATGGCCATATATTCCTTAAAACGATCACACCAGCATCATTCAAACAAACAGAACATACCTAAAACAAGTTTATAGCCATGATACGGCTGAATGTAATGATAAAAGGTGATTGTGTGAGTTATTGAAGTAGATCTATTTATAGCGGCTTGAAGATGAAATGTAGATTATGTCCCGTAATACACTATTGACAGCTTGCAGTGTTGTGAGCAGTTGTTAACAAACAGTCAGCATGAGTGCAGTGGTCATCACTCCTTAGGCACCCTGAAGGAATCCTTTTCTTTCCGGAGACTTCTCATGGTTTCAATTGGGTTTGTCTGCTTCACGTGGTCTTGCACGGACGTCTCTCTGAATTAAACATCAAAAAAATAACAGTAGAGCTATAATTAGCTGAAAACAACTTACACAGACACATTGTAAATAAACAAAACTTAATTAACAGGATTAAACCATGCTCTACATACTTTACTCTCATGAAAGGGTTATATGTGAATTCCTCTGCCAAAGTGGACGGAACGGTGGGTTCTCCCACGCTGCATTTCTCCTACAGAAATACAAACACACACAAACACAAAGTGGTTTTTATTTTCAGTGGTTTCAAAGGTTATTGATCATCTGATTGAGGCAATGATTGCTTGGATGTGACGCATCAAGTCAAATACCTTTGCCCATGCTAGCTTCTCCTTAATGACTTCATTGTCTGGTTCCACATGACGCGCAAATTTCAGGTTGCTGACGGTGTACTCGTGGCCGCAGTAAACACGCTTAAAACACAAACACACAGTGGTCAGTCAGTCTGTCATACAGTAATTACTTTTACACTGACACAGAGTCCAATTCAGTGACTTTTCAAGGACCTTCCAGGCCCAATCTGCACAAAGTCAAGGTCCCACCATGGCATAGTTTGAGACACAGATTGAGGTGAAATTTTTCGAAGTGACATTGTATGGGGTACTTATCCATAGACAGTATATTACATACAGTGGTTGTCGGTCGTATTTCTCCCAGTTTGAAGAAGCAGTCTGACGCAAAAGCTGAGCAACGTACTGCTGTGGAGGGGTCAGTGACAAACCCAATTTAGCCACCTAAAAGAATCATTATCATTTTAAGTGTACGCTATATTTACAATATTTTCACTGCTTTACCTTCATGTCAGTCGGTGATCTCCAACTGGAAAATGAAGATGTTCATTTGCGCACAATGACACAAATAAACAAACTGATAGAGGCAGCGGTAAGCCAGCAGCTTCCGTGTTTAGTGAGCTAAAATTAGTTTTTATCAATGGAGTCTGGTGGCTTTCACGAGAGCATGGATGTGTAACTGAAGCCATAAACAGCTTCCCCTTCGCAACAGGCTGTCTGACTGAAAGATAAAGTGGTGAAAATATTCTAAATATAGGGTACACTTAAACTGACATTGATTTTCTTTTTTGGTGGGACTTTTTTTTAGGTGCCTGAAACGCATTTTGTTGCTGACTCCCGTCCACAGCAGTAGATTGCTTAGCTTCCATGTCGCACACTAGCCTGCTTCTCCATACTGGTGGCATGCTGACTGACATCTACTGTGGATAAGTACCCTTTACAACCCCACTTCAAAAAATCTGAACTATCCCTTTAATTACTGTTGAAACACTGATTATTTTTATATAGAGACGTTGCAGCCTTTATAGAAGCTCACAGACAAAAATTTCCTGTTACAGTGACAGCAGCCTAAAGAACCTTAATTTCTATTCTTGCACAAAATATATAAATTCAACCACTTCCAATGACCCATGTTTTATTTCCACAAATGTACAAACTTTAAAGGATTTAAAAGAACTATGGGAACCCTGCACATTATAGATGGTTCAGACATATTTACCGTTTCAGGAGGCAGGTGTCCCAGAGTTTCTATCAAGGCTTTGTACATCTGTTCAGCTGTACCCTCGAAAAATTTACCACAGCCAGCCACAAACAGTGTGTCCCCTGCATTGGATAAAGAAAGTTTCCTTGGGGCGTTAAAGGTCACCCACGACAAGAGTGCATCAATACTTATTGTTTAAGCTTGACATATTTAATCAGAATCAGAATACTGCCAAGTAGGTTTTCACATACAAGGAATTTGCATTCGTGTTCGGTGCACATAAAAAACATTAAAAAAGAAAAGAAAAAAGTAAAGTCAAGAACCATAAATATAGAGTAGAAAAATCACAATTTAATACTATAAAAACATGTACAGTATATGTGTTTTACAACAAGAGAGCTGTACAGATATGTGCAGGGAGGTTTTGTCAGAGACTTCATTGTCTCCTGGTATTTATTTGTGCAGTTGATCTGATGTGATGTGATGTGATGTGATTACCTGTGAAGACAGCTGGCGGCTCTGTGCTGTTTTCTTTTGTCACGTAGTAGCAGATGTGCCCAGTTGTGTGACATGGCGTAAAGAGGCATTTGACATCGAGTGATCCAATCTGAGAGAGAATGACACTGGTGAGCAAACATCAGTCGTTTGATATTTGGATTGTAGAACAGACAGTTTGACAGTCTTACTTTAAAAGTGCTGGAATGAGAAACTTTCTTTGTTAGACCATCGACTCTGTCGTCTCCTCCATAGATTCTCAGTCCTGGAACGAGCTTCAGCATCTTCTTGTTTCCACTAGCATGATCCCTGAGGAGAAAAATAATCAGTGTAGTGTTATCTAGTTTTATGCAGGTATAATGGTCTCTCTGGTTAGCTTTAGAGTTCTCTGAATGCTCTCATGAATATAGTTAACAAATGGTAGCCAGTGTAACACTATAATGAAACATAAACGTAACATGTAGCTTACCAGTGGTGATGAGTGGTCAGAACTGTTGTGAGTTTTACGCCATGTTTTCTGACGGCTTCCGCAACCTGGTAAAAGAAGGTAGTGCGTAAGAGAGTAATCATTAAAAGACAATCACTCACCAACAATTTTGATAATTGTGTATAAATGTATTAAGCAAAATTGCAGAATATTTGCAGGTTCCAGCTCATCATATGTGAGATTTGCTTTTTTGTTTCGTTCTGCAACATCAAAAATTTCATACATGTGGGTTTTGGAGTGAAAATGTTACATTGTACTGAGGAAACCTCTGATGGGAATTTTCCAATATTTTTTGACATCTTACCAACTTAAACTATTAATAGAAAAATAATAGACTGTGTAATTATTGCTTGATGCCCTTAATGGACGCACAAGTAAAATAAAAGTGGTGGAACAAGTTAGGGTTCCTTCAGTGTTCGTTATTCATGAGGGGGACCAGGAGCCAAATTATCTGCAGAAGTCTTTTCTTCTCCAAAACAAACAGACCCGGAGACTTAAACCAGTAAAAGCAAAGAATAAAGCAGTTTTGGTTACAGATCAGTGTTTCTCCAACACTGTTTGGCTCTTCGCAGACGAGCCGCAAGCCCAGCACCTGTTAATGTGTGCGCACCTTTTTCACTTATCATTTAAGATCCAGACGTTCATTAGGCTTTAACCTAGAGCCAAATTATCCACAGAAATCTCTTCCTATCCAAAATAAACAGACCATGTGATTTGAATCGGTAAAAACACTGAATAAGCATCTCCACGTTAAAAATCTGTATTTTTCCCCAATAGTGTTCTGCTCATGGCAGGGGGGGGCTACTAACTGCAGTGGCTAATAAAAAAATGTGAATGGCCCTATCTATAGCCAGGGTTGTTTTGTGCTACAGTAGAAACATGCTTGTGCAACATGGTGATCTCTGTGGATGGGGACCTGCTCCCTATGTAGATATTAACGTTTCATTCTAAGGCAAAGAAAACACAAAGATTCATTTTTTTCACGTGATTATACAATAAAGAAAACATACCTATTATATTATAGTCCATTTCTGCCTATATATCTCCCATATATCCTACACACTGAACCTTGAAGTGTAAGTAGCAATTCAAAAAGCGTGTTATGTATAATTATGTACACTACATTCTCTAATTGTCATCTCTTGCTTGCTTGATGTGGAAGCTGGTCAAGGTGGAGCTCATTTTCACTACTATATTCAATATTGGTTTGATTAATCTATAAAACATCAAAGGATGGGGCAATATGACAACATATACTATAAGACAATATTGATTTGTCAATCAAAGAACACTGACTGATCAGGCATTTAATTTGCTGTATTACTCAACAACAGACATTTCTGACGGGTCTTTTATCTGCCGACAGTTTCTCGATGGATTTTCCAGAAACTATATTTATTGTTATGATGAAAAATAAAAAATACATGTACCGTAATAGAGGATTTTATCTATAATGCCCACCCTTAATCCATCATATCCTATAAATTGATCAGATTTTGTATTTAAAACAATCTTTAACTAGTAACTATTGTTCAATAAATGTTTTGGAATAAAAAGTACTTTATTTACCTCTGAAATTTAGCAGAGTATAAGTACGGGGTAGCATAGAACGGAAATGCTTCAATAACAGTCCTACAATATGTCGCACAGACCTTATTTGGTTCCACAGGGTCAACAATAGCTGCTTCTCTGGAGTCCACATCTATCAGGAGGTACATGTAGTTGTCACTGAGTGCAGGCACAAGTTCAATCCTCATGTTTGCTTGCTCCACCAGAGATGACTTCCTCTCTACGCTGTGAAGGAGGGCAGCTGCTTGGACGTGGATTTCCACCACAGGCACTGCATGAGAGGATATGAGTCAATATTTGACAGACTTTACATGACGACACTCTGTCGGCTTTAAACAATTCATTTTCTTCCCATATTTGGATATGTATCATATGAAATACATGCCCCTATCGAAAGAGTGATGTTGACATACATGTTCCCTGTAAGGCAATATATTATTATCACATACACACATTATTATCATACAAATATGAACAACCCATGGTGAAATGTGTATATGTACATATTTCAAACATATCTATGCTGATTTTATTTATTTAGTATTACATGCTGCTACCATTTATGTTACCACTATAAATTTACATCATATATGCAAGGTTTTGTAAACATTTATCACTCATTCTTGAGAATTAGGACAAAACTTTTTGGGGTTTTTTTTTATTCTTAAATTAGGCTGGGAAATATATTTTAAAAGATCAAGGTGACTACTAAACCTTATAACCTCCCAGTGAGTTCATTTTTTTTCTTAAATGGCATACATAATGATTGTCAGAGGTAAGATCTGAAAGGGTTGATGTCTTAAGGAACTAACAAAAAGTTATGTATTTATTAATTTCACAGCAGTCGTAGTGAGAAGCCATTTTATTTTTCAAAGTTACTAATAGTTCTCGTCATGCTATTTAAAATACTCATTTTAAACCATAACTTTTATTTAGTTTTTTGATTTAGGAGGGCAACAGAGGTGACTTGTTATGGTTGAAGCACACCTGATAGTATCCCTATTTAATGAATTTATCAAAAAATAGAAAGCCTACCAGTGCTTGAACAGGATTCCCACCTTTTAGGAAATCAGGACGTGGGACAGGAGTCCTTAGCTAACCCTTTTATGCCTGATTAAGTGATGCTTTTTGTAGAAATCTGACAGAGTTAACAAAAATCTGGGACACATCTTTAAAGGGCCAATGTTTTCATTAAAAATATATTTTAAAACAAAGATGACTATAACAGGTTTTATCACTTTTTAAAAAGAACTGTTTGAAGTTGTGAATGCTTGTCCAGGACTAGGCTGTTTCCCAGCTCAGGGCAAGTTTAAAGGTTAAAATGAAAGAAAAATATTTTATAAATAATATTTATTTCATAAAAATAAACCCTTTAAAATGTTTCATCTCAGAAACAGAATTATGTTTTAATAAGTTCTGATTTTTTGTGCGTGTTTTTTTCTTTTGTTTTTTGGCAGGACATAATTTGTCCCAATTCTCAAGAATGGGTATTGTATATTACACATTTATACGAGTACATACGTGTTATATTTATAAATAATTATATATGTGACATATATGGCAATACATGTATTATACATACATAAACATAGATATTTGTATGGGCCAGACATATATGTCAAAAATATAAAATTGCTGCTGTTTCTAATAGTTTTCACAAATAGTTTGTACATCATGTATACATATATATCAAATATGGAAATTCAATATATGGACATATATTACATTTCGTATGAACACTTTCCCTAGAAATGTTTACTTTATGAAGCCACAATCACCAGTAAACGTTGGCAGGACACGTATTCAGCCTGTAAATCATCTAACGTTATGATATGACATCATAAAGTAAACAGCTTAGCTTCAATGCTAACTTTAAAAATGCAACATACAGTATAACTATCTCTTCACCTAGCTAGCTGCGATAGCTTTGCTCTAACTCGACTGCCTTTGAGGCGGTTATGTAATAAGGTGTAGATATTTACTCAGACAGGCCGGGGGCTGTGTTCACCTGACAGCTCCCCTCTCAAGACACGACAAAATAAAAACATGTCAGCCATCAGTAACTAGTTAACATTCACCAAATCACACAGGCTAACATGCTAAGCTAGATGTTTGCAAAGGTTCGCGTCGACGTACCAAATCTGTAGGCTGCGGCAGCTCCAAGTAGAGTGCAGGCACTCCCCACGAGTGACTTGAATAACATAACAACAGCAGATATTGCCTTATCACATTCGTGTAAAGCAGAAAAGTTTGGTCCTGGTTTACTTCCGCGTTCGCCTCCTTTTCAACTTTGACCTCAACAGGCTGCACCAATCAAATCTGGGGGAGTGGATCGGGAATAATCAGTTAAAAACGCGAATAAAGTGGTTATTAATATATTTTTGCCGACGATTCCACGAGAATACACTATGGTATATGCGAGGGATATTTGTTTTGTATTTTAGCCCTAATAAATTACACAAATACGTCGAAAAATCAGCTTTGACTTGAGTTTTCAGTTCACCGTATGTCCTTTCAGGCTTGCCGTAGGTTAATAATCTCCACTCAGGGACCAGTGTGACGGTCAAAGTTTCGTTCAACTGGTGCCGACAGCCTCACGGCGGCTGACAGCTTCACATACTTCCACAATGACAGCTCGAAATATATCTCGATTCTGGGAATGGGGGAGAAAAATAATTTGTGTCGGCAGAAACTACGCGGACCACGCCAAAGAGCTGAAAAACGCGATTCCCACAGAGCCCTTCCTGTTCCTGAAGCCACCTTCTGCATATGTAATTGAAGGCTCCCCAATCCTGGTACCTCTGTACTCCAGCAACCTGCACCATGAAGTGGAGCTAGGAGTCGTCATCGGGAAAGGAGGCACCGCCATCTCTCAGTCCGCTGCTATGGAGCACGTTGCAGGCTATGCTCTGTGCTTGGATATGACAGCCCGGGACGTGCAGGATGAGTGTAAGTCCAAAGGTCTACCCTGGACTCTGGCTAAAGCTTTCAACACCTCCTGCCCGGTCAGTGAGTTCATCCCCAAAGAGCGCATCCCTGACCCGGGCAACGTGAAGCTGTGGCTGAAGGTGAACGACCAGCTGCGGCAGAACGGCTGCACATCCCAGATGATCTTCTCCATCCCATATCTCATCAGCTACATCAGTGAGTTCATCACCCTGGAGGAGGGGGATCTCATCCTCACCGGGACCCCTAAAGGAGTCTCCGCCGTGCAGGAGCATGATGAGCTGCAGGCTGGGATCGAGGACGTTGTCACCATGAGCTTCAGAGTGGACAGACAGGACCAATAATGAAAATATACCAAATATAACTACTCAGACTTTTAATGAAGACACATGTGGACTCAAATTCTTTTAGATCATTTCCAATATCTTTGTGGATCAGCAGATGGCGGTGCTGTGCCATCAAGACCATATTTCTACACTGGTGCTGCCTCTTACTACCTGAGAAAATGAACAAAACACAATTTGTTTACACTGATCGATCTCATGAGCACACGTGTGATCTGCTTTACTGTATCATCTACTTAAACCATCATCAGTGATCAGATCATCAGTGGTGGTACAAGTATTCAGAACTGTTACTCAAATAAAAGATGCAATGATTGTTCTAAAGTATCTTTATTACAAATGAAGGTCCTGGATTCAAAATGTAAGTAGAAGGATCAGCAAAAAGTAGTGATTATTGGACACAGAATGGCCTCTGTCAATGTTATATTATCATTTATAACATTATTAGATTAGTGTTATTATTAATGCATTAAAATGCAAGTAGCGTTTTAATATTAAAGTTGACTATCTAGACAAGGTGGAGCTAATTTGAACTACTTTATGTGCTGCATGAGTTCAATATAATGGCAGAAGAAGTACTGTCTTCATTTTACTTGAGCAGAAGTTTAAATGAAAGGAGTAACCACACACTCAAATCTGTATTTTAGTTTTGCACAGCTGAGTGTGCCACCTCAGTCTGATACTGGGGAGCGGTGTCTACTTCCCTATTTTCTAATGTCATTTGAGGAGAAGTATAAAAGTAAGAGCAGCAAACTGCACTTAAAATATTTAAAGTAGAAGTACTCATTGTGCAGATTGACCCTTCTCAGAATAATATATATTACATAACAGTGTATGTTGCAGGTGGTAAATATGGGGCTGATTTTAACTACTTCATAAACTGCTGGGTGGCGTAGTCTATGATAATATCTATTCATTCATTTTCAGTAATCGCTTATCCTGTTAGGGGTTGCAGGGGGGCTGGAGCCTATCCCAACTGACACTGGGTGAGAGGCAGGGTAAACCCTGGACAGGTCACCAGACTATCACAGGGCTGACACATAGAGACAGACAACCATTCACACTCACATTCACACCTAAAGACAATTTAGAGTCACCAATTAACCTGCAAGTCTTTGGACTGTGGGAGGAAGCTGGAGCACCCAGAGAAAACCCACGCTGACACAGGGAGAACATGCAAACTGCACACAGAAGAGACTCACCCACCTGCTGTGAGGTGACAATGCTAACCACTGCACCAGAGTCTATATCAGAATTTATTTGTTGATTATATTTTGTATAATAATCTATTAAGTCACTGATAACTATAGCTTCCAGATTAACAGAGTAAAGTATAAAGTACAATGTACACTGTCTGAAATGTAGTGGATGGAAATACTCAAAAGTAAAAGTACCCCCAAAATTGCACTTAAATGGACAGTTCACCCCCAAATCAAAAACAGACATTTTTCCTCTTACCTGTAGTGCTATGCATCAGTCTAGATTGTTCTGGTGTGAGCTGAAAAGTGTTGGAGGTATCTGTCGCAGAGATTTCTGCCATCTCTAATGAACTCTCATGAACTCTCTTTACATGAAACTGCTCATGACAAGGTCTGTGGATTTGCTTGAGTAACTGGGTCATGATTTCTAGAAAGAGACATTGCTGCTGAGTTTTTCATACATAGTTTTTTTTGGCGCTTTGAGCACCACAAGCTGAGTGCCATCTAATAAACTTCATAATAATAATGATAAACTTTGTTTAAATAGCACCTTTCAAAACACAGTTACACAAGGAGAATAAAACAAACAACATGTCATAAAATGTCATCAAGTAAAAGATAAAATAAGGAAGGCCAACGCTAAAATCAAGATAATAAATGGGAAATAACATCAGTAAGATAGCAATAAAATAGACAGATCAGATCAGATAAAGTCAGGATATGCTTTCTGATAGAAGTACGATTTTAGGAGAGACTTTAACGAAGCCAGTGACTCAGACAGCCTTATATCCTCAAGTAGGTTATTGCAGAGCCTCGGGCCCCGACAGCAAAAGCTCTGTCCCCTTTGGTCTTCAGCCTGGACTCTGGGACAAGCAGAAGACCTCTGCCTGAGGATCTCAAACTACGCAGAGGTTCATACGGGACTAACAGGTCTGAAATGTAATCTGGAGCCACCAAAACAATCTAGAATGATAAATAACACCACAGGTAAGAGGAAAAGTACCTATTTTTATTTGGGGGTGAACTGTCCCTTTAAGTACAGTACTTGAGTGAATGTATTTACTGGTTAAATACACAGAAAGTAGAGTAAGGTAGAATAAAAATATGATTACAAAGATGATCCTAACAGAATGACAGCACTCTGCATTAATGTGGTGTTCCCTTCAGAAGCTTAAATGTGAAGTAGAGTTTATCCCCGATGAGTTCAAGTTGAGAAAATAACCATGTTAGTGAGAAAGTTTAGAGGACTGAGGGTTTGGCACTGGACACCTGTGGTTATTCGCAAATTTGGAGCACATTTTGCTGCTTGTTGTATTAGCTGAGATGTGTTTTCTTCACAAAATTTGATGGACCCTGTTTTGATGCATTTTTGTAGCTGCACAGTGAACCCTGTTGCTCCTTCCATGCACGCTGTCTGGTTAGCCTTCAAATATCTAATACACCAAAAAAAGATGTGCCAATACCACTTAATAAATAAAACGGTGGTATTTCTCTTCATCATGTGTAATTTTGAATTTCAGGCTGTGTACCTTCATCATGACCACATTCTTCCTGGACTGTTTAACATCTGTTCCAGGTTCATTTACAATTCTCCCACAGGCTTCTCTGTTTTCAGGATCAATCAGAGCCTCCATCAACCTGTCCCAGGCCGGTCTGCTGTAACCCGAGTCTGTGTACATCATCTCCCCACACCTGTAGGGCATGTTATCTCCGAGACTCACAGGACCCAAGCCCTGGCCCTCAGGGGACTCCAGGGTTATATGTGTCCATCATTAGAGAAGTTATGACAGATTCAATTAGATTTGGGGTCTGGGAAATGCAGTTGTGGCCTGTGTTTTTTTAGAGCTGTTAGAGCGGTGCACAGTGTGGCATGTGCACACAGGTGTCGTCTTTTATGAGATATGAATCATACTATTCATTGTCCCCGTGTGACTGAAGGTATTACACCCTTGCAGGTTTTAACAATGGCTTCAAAGCTGGCTCTCAGCTCTGGTTTAGCGTTCACCACATGAAGCGGTATGTTGTCATCGAGTAGGAGTCTGAGGAGGTATATATTTGATGCTTTCAAGGGAGAGGGGATTATGTGGAGACCACAGTCTTCCGATTAAAACACACGAACAATGATGTCACCTATGACATGAAATCACGCCAGTTGGAGCCAAACAGCAGATTCGCTTGTAAACAAAGTAGATTTTCTACTTAAAAAGCGTCATAAAGATACACATACATATTTAAATATCTCAACCATTATTGGATAGCTTGACACAACATTTGGTCCACACATTCACATTTCCCAGATGATGAATCCAAACGACTTTGTTTGAAAATGAGGCTTGATGTACACTGACTGCAACATGCGACATGTGACATATTACTGCAGACATGTTAAAACATCTGTTCATCAGTTCATCAGTAGGTTTAGTGCAGAGTTATCTGTCTTGCTGGAGGTTAGCAGGTCAGATCTCTCAGGTTCACACAGAAAACAACTTGAACATGAATACGGACTTGAACATGTATCCAGGGGCGGATGGGTGGGGTGGCTTCTGGGGCTCCAGCCCCAAATATTTCCTCAGGTGCCCTTAATCAATGCTATTTCACAAAGAAATCTAATATGATTGAGTAAATGTTCCTCTACTAGCCTTACATTCACTTCAGAGTATTGAAGACCACATTACTGGGCATTGTTTGGGTTCCTTGATATGCAATTACAGCAGCCCAAATAAGAAAGGCATGGATTTAAATGTAGCAGATTTGTCACCTTAACTTTCGTTCTGTGAAGTCTACTTCAGCATAGCATAACAAAAATAGCCTTCAGGATTAGTAATGCTGCTTACACCAAATTCCCGCTCTTCTTAAAAATACTTACATCAGACAATGTTTACCTCTTTTTAGGATGGCATGAGTTAAAATGAGTCATCCTCAACATTTGTTGTGTTGTGATTTGAGGATGTTAAAATCATAGACTTTTTCACTGGCATTCTCTTGTTTACAACGCTATTCTTAGCTCACTTACAGCATGCTAATATGTGTACATTAAACAAAAAATTTAAAAAATGGCTGTGCTCTCTGGTCTCAGAACTTGTTTTTATTGTCTGTACCAAGGGTACATACAGAGTGTGGCAAGCAGGCATTTATGTATGCAGCTCCTTAAATGTGGAATGTTCTGCAGAGGGACTTAAAGTTGCACTTTTTTGTTCCTCTTGGTTGTTTAAATGCACTGTTGCAGGATTTTTGTACACAGTCTCCTATGAGCCAGTGTGACAGTGTATCTTAGCTGGTCTTTGTAATCATGTGTAGCTGCCCTTTTTTTTGGTTTTTGGTTGTTTATGATTCACTTCTAGTAACATACTTTTGGCTTTTCTTTGTAGTAATCTTATTTTGTGTTTTATATTGCTTCTTTTAGAGCTGTACATTTTTTATAATGTCTTCTTGTTCTATGTTGTCTGTCTGTAATTTATGTTGCTGTCTGTCTTGGCCAGAACACTCTTGAAAAAATGTGACAAAAATTCTGTTATATCA